CTCTCTCTTTCTCTCTCTCTCTCTCTCTCTCTCTCTCTCAATCAGCATCAAGGCCCATTGCCTTCTGTATCCTCTGCCAAGATTTCTGGAGTGAAAAGCAGACAAAGTTGAATTAAAATCTGGCTTTTCGCAAGTGACTTTTCTCCTCTGGATATTTGGGAGCAGAATTGGGCAGACAAAAAGCAATGTAACTAGGTCTCATATTGCACCCACATAAATATTGCAATATGCATTTGGGCATTGGCTACTTCATTTATTAGAGAAATCTGTGTCAGATTATAGCCGGCATTTGAAAGAATGATTGAAGTTTTGTCACAGTTTCAGTCAATAGTGAGGGCTAGAAAATGGGGATAAGAAGCAGTTTAGTTTGAACATGAATAATTTATGAATCAAATTTGAATAAGCTTCAACAATGACAGCTACACGGATTTGTAGGTAGGCTGCTCGGCAAGAGCATTTTGGTAAGTATTTAGAGGCGCTCCTAAGTGTTGAATCCTGAGCTATTTTGGTGGTGGCTGAGAACACATGATGCCAGTCAAAACTGATAGGGAAGCTTCTGACTTTTTAAGCAAAGAACCAGCGCACCCGAGGACGCCCAGCTAAACAGGCTTTTGCTTTTTGCCTCGCACACATTTCAGCTGTTTTAGTTAGCCTCCACAGCATATACATATTTGCAATTCTAACACGCTGCTTGTGTTGCGTCATGCACCCTACTGGTTTCAGAGATGCTGTTATGGAGGTAAATCTGCTCCACACTCCAAAGGAAACTATGCCGCATGAAAGTACTGCGCATTTTCCCTCCAATAAATAGTTCAGTTATGTACTGCTATTTCATGACCCCATCTGCCCCTTTGGGATTTCTTTTGAGCTGTAATTCCGTTTCATGTGGTGCTGTTCATCTCACCACCAGCATCAAAAAGTATGTATATTACAAGATAAAAGAAGGTAAGGTGCTTCAGATGGACCTTTGAGCTGACTTTTTCATTGAACTTACTGTGATGTTTGCAGTGAATATATATACACTTTACACTTTATTAGCTGCACCTTGCTAATACAGAGTTGGACTCCTTTAGTTCAGTTCCTTCAGAACTGCCTTAATCTTTTATGGCATAGATTCAGCAAAGTGCTAGAGACATTCCTCGGAGATTTTGGTCCATGTTGATATGATAGCACCACACAGTTGCAGAGAATTTGTGGCCTAAACTTCTATGGTACAAATCTGCTGTTCTACCCAAGGTTATCTATTGAATTTGACTGTGAAGGCTGTTTGAGTACAGTGAACTTACTGTCATACTTTGAGTTTTCTGACATGTAGCATTGTCTAACTGGAGACAGCCATCAGAGGATGGGGACACTATAGTCATAAAGGGATAAACGTGGTCTGCAACAATACTCTAGGTCACAGGGATGTCGAACTCCAGGCCTTGCGTGCCTGTGTCCTGCAGGTTTTAGATCTCACCCTGGGTCAACACACCTGAATCAAATGATTAGTTTATTACCAGGCCTCTGGAGAACTTCAAGACATGTTGAGGAGGCAATTTACCTATTTAAATCAGCTGTGTTGGATCAAGGACACATCTAAAACCTGCAGGATGCCGGCCCTCAAGGCCTGGAGTTCGACACCTGTGCTCTAGGATGTGGGGTTTAAATGATGCTCAGTTGATACTGAGGGACCTAAAATGTGTCATGAAAATATGTTTCACACATTACAACCGCCAGTACTCTGAGCTATTGATAAAAGACAGTATAGATCCTTGTTTTTGTGTTTTTTATGCCCAATTCTGACCCTACTATCTGGATGTCACCGCAGAAATCAAGATTCATCACACCAGGCAACCTTTTTCAATTTTGGTGAGCCCATGCAAATTGCAGCCTTGGTTAAGTAGTTGGACCTGGTGCGGTCTTCTGCTATTGTAGCTCATCTGCTTGAACGGTTGATGTGTTGTGCTTTCAGAGATGCTGTTCTGCATATTTTGGCTGTAACAAGTGGATATTTGAGTTAGTGTCTCCTTCTGATCAGCTTGAAGCAGCCTGGCCATGATGCTCTCTGGCATTTCACCCAGAGAACTGCTACTCGCTGGATATTTTCTCTTCTTTGGACCATTCTCTGCAAATCCTAGAAGTGGTTGTGTGTGAAAATCATCAGTTTCTGAAATATTTAGGCCAGCCTATCTGAGACAATAATCATGCCATATACAGAGTCACTAAAATCACCTTTCTTTCCTATTTTAATGCTTAGTTTGAACTTTACCAGGTCATCTTGAGCATAACCCACATGCCTAGATGGATTGAGTTGCCACCATGTGACTGGCTAATTAGATATGTGACTGGCTAATTAGATATTTGCATTAATAAGCAGTGGAAGCGGTGTGCCTAATGAAGTAGCTGAGTGTATTTAGTTTTTTGTTTTTTTTTAATGTAGCCAAGTGAGAACTCTTCAATTTAGCTTTTAGTGAAGTACAAGTATAGGTGCAGTTACCTTAAAACTGTGATTAATACATTGCCTGTGTAAATGTATTTCGTTATATTCCACCACTGCACATGCTTTCAATCGATTTTTTCGCTGATGAGTCATGGCAGATCCCCCATTTCAAAGAGACTAGAGTGGAATGTTCCACTTAACCTCTGGAGCCACATTACCTTTTGCCTTTTAGCTTTGGTTCTTTTCCAGGTTGCCGATTACTACAAGTGAAGGGTACTGGGAGGGAAAGAAGCTTTTATGCTTTCATAGTAACCTTTTTTTATCAGAAAAGAACAACTCATGAGCACAGTTACTGCTGGTCTCACGGCTCAACAAAGCTTTACTAGAGCAAATCTTACTCACCCCAACAGCAGTAACAGAGCAAAAAGGTAGCTTACGGTCACTAAATTAGTATGTGCTAGATGAAAATGATAATTTACCATGATCTTCCTCTAAAATGTTTGGTCAAGCACAAGCATTCCTCCCCTATTTGTCATGGTAGCTCACGGCACACTGCACTGAGTCATGTGGGTTGAATGTAACAATTAGCCTTAAAGAAATGGAATTAAACATAGGCTAATGTCCCTCTGAGACACTACACGGAATAATAGCATAGACTTAACTTGACTTAAGGTCAAAGTTAAAGTTTTATGGCAGTTTATTTGAAAAAGACAAAGAATAAAGGGCATTAAGGTCAAAAGAATGTGGAATTGCGTAATGCTTGAATATCCATGAATAAAACACAGAATAAAATAAAGTAGTGAATAAAATGAAAACACCAGTAATGAAAAGTGTTTAAGAAATAGGAAACAGAAAAGAATTCATTATAAACATCAAAACAACAAAAAAGTATATAAACTATATGGTTGTACGGTTTTATCTGAAAGTTATTAATCAAAGAAAAGTAACATACTGGTTACTTTTTTGCCTTCTGCCAATACAGAGATTTGAACAAGATCAACATCTTCACATTGGCTAGTCTAACACCTGGCTCTATTTATCTTATGCAGTGGATAATGTGTTTATTGAATACTGAATGTCCAGTGACATAGCTCTAGCCTTTAATCACGTAAAATAGTTTTGGATTTTATGTTGCATGAAGTCCAAAAAGCTCAGCAAACAGCACATTATCCAATTATCGGATGAAATAGCTCAGATTAATTATAATTGGCTCACAAAGCCAGGCTGAGAACCATTTAAGTTTTCCTTTGGGCTTTCACTTTTAAAATTTTCAATAACTTCCTCAGACTGGACCCCACAATGTCAAAACGCCTGTTCAGCCCTGCAGCACTTTGAGCCCCCTTGACGGTAATTCTTTGGAGAGTTTTCCCTTTCTTTCTTTTTTCTTTTTTTTTTTTACTTTTCAGTGTTTACTTAACTCATTCACTGCCAGCCATTGGCAGTGAATGAGTTAAACCCATTGACTCATGCACTGCAATTGACGGCTATAGACGTCAATGGCAGTGAATGAGTTAAGATGTATGTTTGCAAAGGCAAATTGGGTCTATACACTGAACCTTAACCTCAAAACTTTCATAACAAGTTTATTGTTTAGTCCAGTGCCAGTTGCAGTCTCAAAGTTATTACAAATTCCTCTGTAGAAATAATAGTACAGATAGAAGTAGCTTAGACAATCTTTGAGCTAATGGTTCTGAACACTCCATTTATCACTGGAAAGTTGACACTAGAGAAGCGGATAGAGAAGTTTATGATCTACCCGCAAGTGCGAGGGTTAGCAGCTCTCTGCCAGTAAATCATTTTATTTTAACATTTATTTTCTGAGTGCTTTTCCAGTGTTTTGCTGACTTAGTGTGGTCAGTTTGGTGCTGTGTTATCAGAAGTGCTCTAAACGTTTTTTACTACTAATAATAAATTCTTATACCGTGCAACAGTGACCATCAAATTCCAAACAGGGATAAAGCTGACAGTGGCTGAACAAAGTATGTCTATATACATATCTTTAAAAACTCTAATATTTGTGTGTACTGCTTACTTCACTGCCTCCAGGTGGCCAGAACAATCATTTAAAGTCATCGCTTTGGTTTTCCTCATTTTCTTGTCGTATGCATACTTTTACAGCAGTGGAAGCTCATATTAAACAGACAGGTCTCCGTTCTGTATGATGTCAAAGAGAAGGGATATCGTTAATGTGGTCATATTAGCAACATGGCAATGGTTGCGAGCCCCAAAGCCCCACTTACCTGCTGTCCATACATACTGTTTGTGAGGGGCAGCCAATCAGAAGAAAGCTAGCTGGAAAGTAAATCGTGTGTGGAAAGCTGTGTTGAGCTTGGCATGACCTAGAGAGCATGTCTCAATATTGTCTCCTTGACTTCAATTTAATTAATTTTGTGGTGAGACCCAAACATCTGCGACCCCCTAATGTGAAAACACAGGTAGATAAAACACAATGAAGGAAATGTAAAATGAATCTGTTCAAATCTGCAGCTCTCTCTTTCTCCCCACTTACTTTCAGTATTTCACGGCATGGATTTTCCTCAAAATACGTGCACCAAAAGTCAATTAACAAACACGAAGGGCAAGTTCAAAGCAGTTTTAATCGCATTTCCATATATTTCCATACAGACATTACCAAGTCTAAATATTTTCATTGTTAAATTGGCATTTTCGTTCTTATCGTCTCCACGCAGCGTCATCGTGAATTAAACAGCAAACACAGACCATGCACTGCAAGCCTATTTTCTTCCTGACAAACCCATGCAAATTTAAAATCTGTAGTTAATTACATGTTACCAGTGAGAGAGGAATCAATTTTCCAAGACTTTCTGGACCTTATTGTGACATAAGTTGCTGGAAGGTTTCTCAGGGAATTATGCACCAGTCGTGCTGGAATAGCTCCACATAAATCAGACATTAACAGTTCTTCCTGAGGTGAAGGCTTCGACCTCTGTTTTTTCTGGTCCTGATCAGACAAGATGAATTTCAACACAAAGGCTTGCTGTGCCTCATGTTATTGGCACAGGTTCTGCCCACATTAGCTCCCTCCAGGAGTAAATCAGACAGTCGGTCCAGACCAAGGCAGGTGGTGAGGGGGCTGATGAGGCCGTAGAGACCCCCTAAAGCGATGCTGATGGGCCAGCCAATGAACAGCAGAACAATGAGCCATATGATGCACCAGAAACATGACCCGCAAGTGGCCATCTTAGTCTGGAAAAAAAGAGAAGAAGCTTAGAATGATGATTTCCCCCAAGGTGGGCACACTTTCCAAAGGCAAATGCTTTTACTTTAGTTAAACAGTTCTAACACACTGTGCGGTAAAGAGCACTTTAGATGGCATACAATAGTGGGTCAGTCACCTCAGTGGCTACTGTGTTTCCTGTGAGCAGCAGTGCTTCTTTAGTGATGATAGGAGATTATTAGATTGAAATGTGTCATGTCAATGATCTGTATGTACAGGATTAGGCACCAGTCTTGACAAAGCACGCTAAGCTGGTAGTAATCACCAGATCTGCATACCCACTGGAGGTCAAAACTTACACAATGCTGAAGACCTGTGCAGGCACATTAGTCAGCCACTATGAGCAGATCAGCAGAGATCATAACTCATAACAAGTATACTGTACTGTGCAAAGTGTGCATACATCTGACTTGATGATTTATATTAGTATAGCAGCAAAAATGTGTAAAAACCTAATTATGAGAAAAGTTTTTTATTTTACAAAATGCAATCTTATGCCTGAGCAATCAGGCTGTAAATGTTTTTGTCCAATAAAACTGTACAAGATCTGCCCCAAGGACAGGCCTTGAAGTTGAGATTGTAAAACTGATGGTTTTACGAGCGCGAAAGTGTTGTGTGTTGTCAGATTCCTTGAGCTTAGTTTAGGTTTAAGACACAATGGTCAGATCCTCTTCCCCTCCAGGCTTTGCTGTCTTGACTCTATGTAATGTGTAATTTCCTGTTGTGACACTGCTGTCACGTAGTGTTGGGCAGTAGATTAAAGATTCAACACGAGTTTGTCCCATGGTGGATCCCGTGCTTTGGTAAACGGTCTCACTTAAAAAAAAAAAAAAAAAAAAAAGACGAGGTAGAGGAACCACTAAAGTACAATGATTACAGCAACATGATGTGAAAATACTTAAAATTCCTCTTCTTCAGCTTTTTTTTTTTTTTTTTGCTTTTGCATTGTGACATTTGATCACAAGCACCAACCAAATACCAAACACAAATAAACCTCCACCCTAAATCTGAACCTATTAAAAGATGTCAATTTTATCAGAACCTCTAAATTCCCCTTACAAGTCAGCAAAACGCTAATGATTATTCAACACAGTGCGACTGCATGCTGTTAGTCTCACTCATGAATCAGCCCTTAGCAAAGGTTAGAATCGAGAGCTTTGCAAAGTAGCTATTAACCCAATGAATACCTGCCGTGTGAGTACAAAAGACATGTTCACCTTCAGCAGGAAAGAAGAACGGTTCTGGAGGACGTGTGCACCTGGTTTCCTTCTTGCTTGTAGAAAATCTCCCTGATCCTCCTGCAGATTCACAGAGATGATGATTGTGTGTGTGTGTGTGTGTGTGTGTGTGTGTGTGTGTGAGCAGTAGCCACGTCCCACCAGTTAGCTCTAATTTACTACAACAAGGTACCACAGGCAACTAAATTCTCATGAGGCAAGCTGAAAACAGAAGTTTAATAGAGGCAGGATATTACACAATGCAGACATTCATGTGACTCAAGAGAAAAGTATGCCTGGTGTCATGGGTTTCTAGGAGCTGGTAATGCAACAGAATATTTGATACATCTGCACCTAGGCTAGTTGTTCACTCTTAGCGTAAAACCTATAAAATATTTAATCCTTATGTGACACAGTACACAGATATTGTTGTTGGCTCCATGTCAAAACTTTCAGCAATTTATATGTGCCCAAAGTCCTGAGCCAACAGAGGTAACCTCTTATCTAACCACTCATTCTAATCCTTTCCTTAGCCAACAGAAACACGTGTCTTATGACTCCAGAATACCTACTTTATACCTTAACCCAGAGTGCCCTGCACTCAGGAGACAGGAAATAAGAAAGACGTTTCATGGCTCCACACTTGACTGAGTTCCACTGATGTTACTCCACATCCAGCAACACATGGTTCTCCATCAGGTCTTTTAACTAACCCAGGCACAAGCAGCTGTGCAGCTGACCTGTTCCATCAACCTGCCTGAGGTATGATGTAACAATAAAAATAAAATGCTCTGGTGCATGACAGTGAATTAATTTCCGGTCTGTGTTTTTGCCTGCAGGGTTGTGGACTGTGCTAACCTCTTCATTTTAATTAATTTATTGATGTTTAAATCACCAAGTTCCGGCTGTTTTAAGTCAACATATATAGTTTGCCTGCTTGATTGTTTTCTTCAATCTGGTCATCATATGTTAACCCTAACATTTATTCAGCTGTGAAAACACTTTGCTGTTAGTGCACAAATCATGAATGGCAGATAACTTGAAATCCCCCAACACGCACACTTGGATATAGTGACTGACCTACAAATGGAGCTTTTTTGAAGCTTCTGTTGCTGATACAGGCTCAGCCAATGAAATCTGAGCTGTACTTTATGCAGAATGAAGTAGATGAATATATAAAAGTATCATGACAGAGATTATATCAGTCAAAGAAACCATCTTTTAAAAGAAGAGAAATAATGGGGAAAACCTAAGGTATGTCAAATTACACCAGAAATGGACTGAAACTCAGTGACGACAGGTCTTTTGGAGCAATGACTCCAAACATGTGAAATGTTTGGTTTAAATCCTTTTAAGTACGTAGAGGAGATCAGGGAAGGGAACAACAGTGAGTGTTTGCAGACATTTGTAGAAGGTTGATCTGATATTGTCGTGTTGGTGTTGTTCCAGGATCAACGTTGCAAGTGACCAATCAGAATGTTGTGACGTCATACTTTTGCGACTTCGGGAAAAACCGGCGTAAAACAAAAAACTGTACTTAAGCTGCGTGAAACCGCCTCTGTCCACCGATCAACGGACCCTGACCCTAATCGTAACCCTTTCATAAACAGTAAGCAGAATTGATATTGTCCTTGCAACATTGGAATTTCATAAATGCACGAATGACTTGGCGCGCAAAGGAATAACGTCACAACAATGTGATTGGTCACTTGCAATGTTGAACCTGGAACAACATTTTCATGATGGTCTGGGAACAACACCAACACGAGGATATCAGATCATCCTTTGTAGAACACAGTGGAGACTTCTCAAGGTTTGGAGTTGCATTTCAGCCAGTGGTGTTGGACATTTTGTCAAAATTGATGAAATTCTGAACAAAGGAAAGTACCATCAGATTCTAATCCACAATGAAATGCCATCTGGAAAGTATGTGATTGGAAATATATTTTTTCAGCATGATAATGATCCCAAATACACTGCCAGTGCACTAAGATAGTGTTTTTCTATCAGTCTTGGACTGACCCCTCCCCGAGAGCCAGGACTTTAAACATTATTAAATCAGTGTGGGATCATCTTGACAGATATGGAATAAAAAGGCAGCCAACATCCAAAGAGCTTTGAATGTCCTTCAAGAAGCCTGGAGACTACTTAAAAAAATTGCAAGTGAGTTCAAGCTGTTTAAAGAATAGAGGTGGTCATACCAAATATTGACTTTCAATCTTATTAGAATTGTACAAACTCTTTTTTTGCCTTATATACTGTATTTATATAAATGTTTGCGGGGAAATGAGGAGGGGATTAATACTTTAGCACAGAGCTGTATGTGTTGGTTGTGTGTGGGACACCCATAGAATGGTATTAGTATAATGATGATGCCACAGTCTGAATAGATTTTTTTTAATAAAGTACTGATAGTAACAAAAATCAAATGTTTTAGAAAAAAATAACAAAACATCACAATGATCTTCTCTCAGTAGAAAACAGATTTAAAATAGGTGACTAAGCACTACATTTCTCTTCAGGGGATCCACTTGTTCCCTCTATGGTAGTCCCATGTCAGGATGTTCTACTGTTCTTGCTCATCTGCGCTCTCTCCATCGCTGTCGCTGTCTCTACCAGGATGCTCTGGCATCTTAGCATGGCCGTCAGTATCCTTGTTTCCTTCCTTCTCGCCGGCGTCCTCCGAGTTTGGCTCTGTGCTCGCCGTTCCTTCTGGGTTTTCCTGCTCCATGGGGGTTTCCTCCTGTGGCTCCTTAGATGTAGCAGTGGTCGACAAAGCGCCAGCATCTTTTTGGGTCTGTTTTGGAGGCAGAGCCAGTTCTTGCTGTTGCTGCTGAGAAGCCAAAAGAAAAGGGAAATGTTCAAAACACAAAGGAAAATATTTCCACTTTTTTTGGCATTATATTGTCAAATATACTCAGCTAACTGATTATAAAGAGCACACGGCCAAAACTGATGTAATCTTATACAAAAACCCTGCAAGGAGTCCATCCTTTGCAATTTTCTTTAAGTCCTTTTTGCAGAGCCTGTCAGTCTACCACAATGCCACTGAACACCACTATGAACAGCAGCCTCTAAAACGTCTATTACATTACACACGTCTACGCATATGAAGGAAAAAATAAACATCACTATCTTCATGGATTTACTGCAGCACTCAAAATGCATTAGTTGGATTTAGGTGTTCGTAACAGCGTGGCAAATAAGTGTTTGACATATAGGTGCATCTACAGGAACATATTCGTTGTTGAGGGTATTTTAATAGAGATAGCTTTATAATAAAATGTCTCTTCCTTTTAAGTACACATGTTTTTAGTATCTACTATTATTTCTCTATAAAAGGTGATAAATGTATGTTGAAAAACTACATTGTTCTGTGTAGCCCGTTCCTTCTCTACATTTCTTACATCTGACCTATTTACTGTACTCCATTAAAAGTTAAAGATTAAAAATACAAAAATGGCAGCTGGGGACAGGCGCTGACAGCTGCCAGGAAAGTTGATGACATCTGTAAGCGTGTCAACGCAGGATGGTTGCCAGTTTTTAAACTGCCTCAGGTGTATCACAGAAGAAACTTTTATGATATCGCAGTATCATAAACATAGTAGGTGTGCTGCTGGTTGATTTATATGGCTCCTTTCACACAGTCCACTTTGTGCTCTTTACCTGTCTGTACTGCTGGGAGGTCTGGATCATGTGCATGTACATATTATACACCAGGTTGGCCATTTCCGGCATGTTCTTCACAATTTGGTCAGGCTGTCCAGAAGTATCTCGCTGAAAGGTAGAAACAAAAGAAGTTTGATTTCAGCCCAGGATGCGATCAGAGAGGAATTATAATGAAGAACTTTTATCGGTCTTGCTAGGGATCACTCTTTCAGGCACACGGACTTGGTTAAGTATTGATCCGAGGTAAAATGTGCAGGGAAATTACAATTCAGCAGCCCACTGCTACCCGCTGGTTATTTCAAACAAATTTCCCTCTCCAGTGATCACTGCTCATGTATTACCAAAGAAGTCGGGGATGCAGAGTTTTTAATTTGATAATATTAGTATGCAGACAGAGTCTTGCAGGCTAAACTGAAGACTGAGGCAAGCAGAATATTCAATCTGCTTGGCGGATGCCTCTTAAATACAGGGGAGATGCCCACAGAGGCCCTGGGGGCATCATGTCAAAGTATACTACTCCACAGTTTAACTTTGTGTGCTTTCACTGCAGTAAAACCTTCATTAAAAACACTGGGGGAGAGAATATGATAACTGCATATGATTATAGATCGAATATGTATGTTTCCATATGAAGCTTTAGGCAGCTTTGTTTTTTTTTTTATAGCAGCTTCTGAGTTAGCCCCGTTAAATAGCCCGTGACACTTCCAGTTGAGTGTTGCTTGACAAAGTCTGACTTTTAATCTACATGTGCGTGTAAGCAGCGGGGGTTTACTGACTCTAGATAGATGGGCTAAGCAGGGGCCACATGTGTGTGCCCGAAAGAACTGTCCCCCATGGGGATGAACACTCTAGTGTCAGAGAGGCTATTGGGTATTTTAGACATCACTGTTGCCAAACACGCCTGTCAGTGAGACACTGTGACCAGACAATGGTCGTTTCATGCTGGTCAGTCGGTGGTTTTGTCTTCTGACCTTTGGGGTTAATTATAGCCATAACTGTGTTTCTCATCTTTGCAGCTGGTCTGCAGAATGCTCTTACCAGACTGGGTAAAGCTGCAGTAAGAAGTGGGACCAGTGAGGACCAATATTCTGAGTGGAATGAAGATTCCACTCTGAATATAAAAAGGGGGGAATTAGACCGAGCCAGTGGGCTGTAGCGGCAATGACGTGGTGGGATGGTGAAGACGGCACGAATTTTATGGAAATAGGCACTGGCCTGAACCGTGGGAAAGAAGCTCAGTTCTTATCAGCATATCTCCCACTTGAATATCTCATAATGGGGCAGATCTGATATGGTAGGTTTTATGAGATCAGCATGAGCATGGGTATGACTGCTTACAGGCTGTTCCTGGTTGTAGTACTCGTGTGGTCTAATGTGTAGCTGCAGTGGTCTGGCAGTGAGCTGGTTGAAGGCAGGAGTCAATTCGAAGCAGTTCTGAAACAGTGACACTCGGGCAAAGATGTACAGGCCCAGTCTGGCTCTTGACATGGCTACCACCAGACGCCTCACATCCCTGTGGAGAGACAGAAAAAAGGATTGACTTGAGGGGAAAA